CACACAATCTCCCAGTGTGATGGCTTCAGAAGCTGTTAATTTTAACAGACTCCCTCATTTGCATGCAGAGCACTTCATCGATGTATAATGTATTCTCCTTTACCTGGATCTCCTCCTCCAAGGAAAGCTGTTGTCGGCTCAGAGCTTTCAGCTCTGTCTGAGCCTCTGCTAGTGCATCCTGTAACCTAACAGAGAAAACAAAACAGACATTACTTGAAAACACATCAATAGGGTTTTTTCATATGGGATAAGAATTCTGAGGAATTAAGTTAAAAAAAAAAAAAGGAAGAGGCTTCAGAGAGAGACATGCAGCTTCCTTTAAAGTGTCCTGCCCTTAGGGGAAAAGCAATTCCCAGCCTTTCAGGGAGAGTAGCTGGGATCCCATTTACTTTGACTTATTAACCTAGTAATCTATACCACAGATTTTCTCCTTTCTCCATTTCCACTCGCCTTTGAATATTTCTTGTAATCTCTTCAACTTCACTTATCAGCCTGTATTGCACTGTGTCATAACAGAATTCCACATTGGGGCGATGGTTTCTTGCTTCCAAGCGGGTTTGAGCCACTTTAACAGGTCCTTCTTTATCAGCGATTGCTTGCTTTAAGGCTGCAATGTTCTTCTCCTGTGAGGCAGTCTCATCCATCACCTTAACAAATCCAACAGAAGGAAGTGCTGCACACTGGCTCTTACAATGGGTAAAATTGTCAACATCTTCAATAGTTAAAACAATCACAGTAACATTATGTTAAAATGTTATTTCATCAAAGGATATTTTACAAAGGTCAGACATGATTATGATTCCTTCACTGGAGAGCAGGTGACACTTTCCTGAGCGAAACTGGAGATTTATGCTCAGCAATTATTTTTTAATATTAACGCTCAGTTTTCATGTACCAAATTTCAAGCACATTGACCCTGATTTTATAAGTTACTATGCTCTTGTATTACAATCATGAAAATTCTGTAGGATCCCCATGTAACTAAAAATCACAAGGGAAATCCTGACTTTACTGATGTCTACAGCAACACTTACATCAAGTGATTCCAGAAATTCACCTCTCTAGTGGTGCACACAGAGCAGAGAAAATTTAAGACAACGTTTTTTTGGAGTGTCTGAAGTGGCACAGGCTGCCAATATTGCAAAGGTAAAATTCTTAAAGCAAAGTAGCTCAAGCCAGTGGATTGAGAAAACTTGATAATCCAAGCCCACGGTCTCTACTTTTTCACTGACTGTTCCCCACCACTTACCATTGCAAGGAGTGTCTCTAGCTTGTGCTTGGCATCCTTGACTTCCTTCACCCTATCTCTAAACGCAGCATTCACCATCTCAGATTGCTTGTGCATGTCATTCGCTGTCTGTGAGAGGATGCCATCAATAAGCACCCTTAGTGCCAGAGAATTGTTTCGCTGCTTGTCAGCCTTTTCAACATTTATGTTTGAGAAATTTAGCCAGTCTTCAGGGCTAACAAAACTGAAGGAGATTCAAAATAAAAGGTCATCAAATGACACCATCAAACCCTCTGTGACTTCGTAAATCTATAATTACTCCACAAAACTGAGAACAAAGCAATTCTATTAACCGCATGTCCCAGTGAGTGCTAGATGTGCTGGGAATTCTACAGATACAAAATAAATGTTGCAAGCATTTCAGAAGGAAGTAGACAAGGGTAGGATGAAAATGAATTCGCTAAAGTCACACTGCAACTTTGTACCTTTCCCTGATAAAATGTTACATTGTTGTGGGGGAAACACAGATTATAACCAATATTTCTTAAAACAACTTTCATTAAGCAAGCTGTTATTACTAATATTATTCAGATGTTACTATTAATAGAAGGTAGCTATTGACACAGAACATTCACTTATTCTCTCACATAATTCACCACCTTTAAGACAGTCATTTATAATACCTGGTCAGAGCAATAGTTGGGAAGCCAACCCCCACCTGTATCCTGGGATTACAGGGTCATACCTGTGCACCAGTGGCTCGCAGGCGGGTATCTGGAAAGTTTCTCAGAGGGTTTCTTGTTTTATTGGGTGGATATATAAAGCTGTAATTGTCATTTGCGTATAGCAGCCAAGACCATTCTGCCTGTAGCCTGAGTTATCCAACCTGTCACTGATGCACACTAACACACTAGCAGCAAGAGTGGTCAGTCCTTGTTAGTTCTTGCAGAGCCCGAAGTGTCCTTGTGAGACTCTCTCTCACACACTGCTTTCTCAGTATGTTTCCTCTTCTCAGCCAGTTTTTGTGGTGGCTATTTCTCTAACTAAACCATTCACACTAACTAGCCCACACAGAAGGGGTGCATTTGACAGGTTAATGACTGAGTCAGAAACTGACTCCACATCCCAGGTGTCCCAGTCCAGCGTTCTCCCCACTGGGACACCCTGGGACAGCAGAGGAAGCTAGATTAGGAAATCTGAGTTTAAGCAATATGTGAATTCTTCCTTAGCTAACTGTGAGCCTCAAAAACTGTTAGTAAACTGCAATTCACTGGGAATGTGATTATTGTGGCTTATTTCAGACACGTTACACAGATACAAAAGTGACGGACAGAAGTTTTAAAAAAACCAAACAATCTACAATGGACGGATGATGGACAGATATAGTCTGTTTTACACAAATAATCTTGCTATTTACTGAACTAAATAACCACTTACTTTCCTTCTATTCTCACTGCATTATCAGTGTATCTGGTATCAGGAGTGTTGTTTGTCAAGCTACTACAGTAATCATCAATCATCAAAGCTGTGAACTTGTCCTTCAGATCCATTTCCAGGTTGTATTTTGCTGAACGGTTTAGTCTAGGAGGAGAAACAACCAGACTCTAAGCCAAAGTGTAGGCACTTAACAGGTGTCCGTAACATGCATGCATATATGCATTAAGTAATACAAATGCTGTTACGGAATTCTTCATGTACAAAGTGTTAGTTGCAAAGTCCCAAAATCAAGAGCATGAAGCTGCCTCTATATAAATTGATGGTACAATTCCAATTGGAATTAAAAGCACAGGACTGGATCATGAGAAGAGCAGGTGTTCTGTGCAGGTACTTTGATTCTAACAAATAGAACTTCTCAACATTACTGATTCAATGATATGAATTAGGACTGATTTCCTGTAACTGTTTAGCACTGAAGGTAATTTTGGACCTGTGCTCAGCCTGACCTTACAACTTCTCAGGAATATGAATGTCCTGCTTTTCAGCTTATCAGTGTTCAGTCACACACTTTGCCTCTGCACCTGATTTGCTCATCGGTTTGTTCCAACGTACGTCCAAGCAAAGCAATAACCCCCTGGAGTATTTCAACTTCCTTCACCAGTTCCTGTTCCACTTCATCATGCACCAAGTCAATCCCAACTCTCCTCTGCCTAAACAAAAAGAGGAAAACCCATCAGCCTCATTGCTGAAATGCCTGCAGCTAACAGAAGATGATGAAACCCAGCTTTCCAAAATGAAGACTTTTTCTTGCCACATAGAAGTTTTTCCCTTATGACCTTGGTTCCCCAGTGTTATAACACCTAAATCAGACCATTACTCCACTGCCCTTAATTTACAGCCTTTTCTATTATTTGTTAGGGGTTGATTACCTAGATTTTTTCTCTCCCTGAATGCTTTTCTTCTGATTATCTCACCTGTTCAGAAGACACTTTTGGGCAATGACAAGTGGCTCTTTGCAGCTCTCCAATGATTTCTCCAACCGAGTCTTGAATGTTAACAGTAACTCTGTCTCATGAACAACTTCTTCAAGTTTGTTACTTAATTCTTGCTTCCAGAATTTTATTTCTTCCTGTCTCTGCTCTGCAGAATGAAAATTGTAAACAGGTATTAATACAAGCCCATCTTACATGCCAGACCACTGTGGGTCAGATCTTAAGATATGACTAAAAATAGACTTATTCCATAGTGGAATGCATGTAATCCTGTAGGCTGATGTGTGGACAGTTTTGCAACCCTGTGTCAGGAAGTTTGGTTGGAATAGCTTTCCAAGTGTTTTATCTATTTGTTACAAAATAAAGAGTCTGCCTCAAAATATTTTATAAAAGATTTTTAGGTATTCCATGAAATCAAAGAGCATGACAATTCACTAGCAACTCATTTTCTAAGTCTTCCTTAAACATAAA